AGGCATGGATGTATTGAGGTGAAATTGAGAGGAAAGAAAAGAAAAGGAAGTGGTGCACGGTGCACGGCTGTATTAACTGGTTCGATTTTGACCATACTGCAGCAGGTCGGGGTTCGATCCCCCGCGTCCCACTTATAGGTCACACCTTCTTTGGCCGGAGGGATTATCGCGGTGTGCCTAACAATCTTGCATGTATTCAGGTTGAATTGGGAGGAAGGAAAGGGGCGTGGTGTACGGAGCATTGCTGCATTCATTATAGGTCCTTTCTTAGAGTAAACACATCAGCTCGGGGTTCGATTCCCTGCGTCCCTCTGATTACGGATAGCTTGGAGGTTTTTTTCCCTTTTGGGGAGCACATGGAGGAGGAAGCTATATATTGAGGTTGATATCAAGAAGGGAAGGGCCGTGGTCTATGGTGCACCGCAATGGTGAATGCTGTTCAGTCCATAGTACTGCAGCAGGTCGGGGTTCGTCTCCTTGGGAGGAAGAAAAGGGATGTGGTGTATGGCACACCGCTGCATTCAATGGTGAATAACCAATCCGGGGTTCAATTCCTCGCGTCCCACTTATCAAGCAAGGGAGCTAATTTTCTTTCTTTTTTGTCGAGCCTCAAGTCGCAGTGGACCGCTGCATTCAATGTGTCACGTTTCGACCAGTAAATGTAGCAGGTCGGGGTATGATTCCCCACCTTCTATTATCAGGTAGACTGTTTTGAGTGAGATATGAGGAAATACGGATCCACGTAATGGCGGTGTCCGCAGGAAACAGCGGTTAGGCACGTAGGGAGGAGGTGTAGGTGGTGTGTTGAGAAAGAATGAATGGCGAAAGAGATCGGGACAGGCGGGAAGGGCAGGGAAAGAGGCTGGCACGCGGAAGAATGCGGCGGCGTTGTTGGGAGAGGGCGGGCGGGTGGTGCCAAACACTATGAGGTTAGGATTTATCGGGAGTGGGTGGAAGTGGGTTCAGATTGGGTGGCTTCATGCAAAAATGCCGGGGTGGATCACGTGTGGGAGGGATCGTTCAAAGGGAGTGGGAGCAGGGCTGGCCAGATGTGGGTGGTGTGGTGTGTTGTGAGGGAGTGGCCAGTGTTTACTGGCACTGGCCAGATGTGGGCAAGATAGGGGTGCAGCATTCAGGTTTAATCAGCAGTGAGAAAGAGTGTGGGAAAGAGTGTGGGAGGGTGCAGGCAGTTGTGAGGGGATGGAATTCAAAAAGTACTGAAAAAGTTTTAAATTCTTCACGTACTTTTTCAGTGAAAAATTATTGCAAATGCAAAACATTTTTCACCAATACTTTCACCAAAAAACTTGAAATGCTCAATCAGTGTAGAGAGCTTCAATGGTACAAGTTGTTACAAATTCAGAAAAGATTTTCCTGACGGACGCCACCCAAGACTTCCTGAGCTATGCAGAAAAATTGCAGAAAACTTCAAATCTGAGGCCTAGAGTGGTGTCCTGTTTATCTCGACTGAAAGACCGACGAAATTAGTTGGAAGCCTATCTCCTTTCACATTACAAGTTCGCGCACCTCCAGCAGCACCACACATCACTCCCCTAGCTCCTCTCCACATACGCCTTCAGATCCGCCCCCTGCTTCTCAAACGCCGTCTGCAAATTCCCCTTTAACGGGAGAACCACGGCCGTCTCCAGGCCCACATAGTACGTCTCAAACGACAGGTAGCGCGTTACGCCGCCGCCCACATCAACGAGGACATTCGGGTGCTCGGCCCGCACCCCCACGCCGCCCAGGCCGTCGTCATACCGCCACGCGGACAGCGAGTAGCCGGCCGCGTTCGCGTAGTCCAGCACCGTGAGAACCTCGTTGCTCGTGGTGTTGAGAGGCGGGAGCACGCCCGCGGTGTGGAACGTCATGGGCATGCCGATGTAGTTGTCTGCGGGCGTGGTGGTCACGTTGGATGGGAGGTCGACCGTAAAGACAAATGTGTTCCAGGAAGGGTAGGCATGGAAGTCTAGGATGGCGTTGTAGACGTCGATGAGCGGGGCGCTGATGTTGAGCTCGGCGCAGACGGTGAAGACGATCTGGTGGGAGCCGTACGTCAGCGTCGGGAGGCCGTCCGCGGAGTTGGAGGGACAGTGGAGGGAGGCCCAGTTGATGGGATCTCCGTGGGCGAGAGCAGGAAGGCAGAAGATCACGGCCCGCAAGGCCGCCGGCAGTTTGAAGAGAAACATTGCTGCTTGGGTGGGTAGTTACCTCTTCAATCATGTCTGTACAGAAGGCCTTATATCTATGTAAGAAAAGACGTGAGACAAACGTCAAAGTCACGGTGGAGCTGAGTTGCGCAATGCGGATGACCAGGAAAGACGGAACGGGTTTCCGGTAACTCCGAACACCTGTGATCCGTGGTGTGCGGCACACCGCTGCATTCACTGCGGATAGGTTTCTCTATATGCAGCAGGTCGGGGCTCAACTGCCCGCGTCCCACTGCGGTCGCGTAATCCACATTTTCCCTACATTCTTATGGAGCGGCTGAGAAGTCACACGTATATTCAGGTTTCAACAGGAAGAAAAAAATGGGATGTCGTGTACGGCGCACCGCTGCATTTACTACACCGGTAGCCCATTATACAGCAGCAGGCCGGGGTTCGGCTCCCAGCGACCCACTTATGTAGCACAACACTTTTTTCTTTGGCCGGAGGAATTAGCGTGGTGCAGCTAGGACGTCGTACATGTATCTAGGTTGAAACTGGGAAGAAGGGATGGGGCGCGGTGTACGGCGCACCGCTGCATTAATTGAAGGTATCCCGTTGGAGACGGACGGAATGACTTGATGTCGACGCAAGACCTAAGATCCCGCGGGGTCGCTGCGCAGGGAATCTGATGGCGAAGGTCGCGGACAAGGCTTGTGTGCTGACTAATCTAGAGGCCGCAGCCATACATGCGTACACACAGGCTGGCTCGGTCGCCCTACCCGATCCTACCACTACATCTGCCCACCCACAAAAAAGCGACGTCCTCGTCGCGTAGCCCTCCAACGATGCCTCCTATCTTGCCCATCCCAACGAGCGAAGCGCGCGGCTCAGATCGGTAAGTCTCGGGTCTTGATCCCAGTCGAGGGCGGAAGTCGACGTGACGCGGAGCGGTCTCGAGGGTAAGGATGGGGCGGCGGAGCGAGAAACGGTAGCTGAGCACGCGGGGTGTCGGGGAGACGAATTCGTGCGCATCGCGGAACGGCGGGGAGCTCGGATGAATTTTTGTGTGCGGTGAGTGCGGTAGCGCAGGGTGTCGAAAGGCGTCAATGAAGTTGAGTCGGAGCGGAGGACAGATAAATCGCGGGCAGGGAAGTTCGGGGGTGGTTTCATGTCAGGGAGGTGAATCGTGGCGTCCTCGTCTGCCCAATTGGATGGCGCGCTCGACAGGGTTGGCGGGATACCGGCGTTGGACTGGGTATCAATCGGGGTAGAGGCGTGATCGAGATTTGGGGAAGGCGAGGATGGGGAGAGCTCGACGGCAGGTGAGTCGGTTCCAACGTCGACGAGCACGCGGTCGGAAGCGGGAGTTTTCCTCAGCTTTACTGCTTGCTTTTCACCGAAATCCCTTCCCGCAACGAAGCCGAGTCGCTTCCCTTCGCTCTCGCCCTCCAATTTCCCCTTCTCGAACCCGATGGCTTCCCCCTCCTTCAACCCCTGCGATTTTCCCGCCTTTCGGCCATCCTGCTTGCCGTCGCGCAGCCCGCCCGCCCGGCCTTCCTTCAGACCAGCCTCGCGCCCGAGAGCGAAGTCCTCAGATGCCTCTCGATCGCGCACGCTCTGCGCCACACCGCCGGAACCGGCACGAAACCCGATTTCCAGGGCGTGCCGCCATAGCCAAGCAACGCGTGTACCAGCCAGAAGGGCCGTGTGGGCGCGTGCGCGCTCGTACGCGGCGAGGTAATCATCCGGTGCGTCGGATGGCGAGCGCAAGTGGTCGTCGAGGCCTTGGGGAAATGGGGCCACCAGCGCGCGCAGGGCGTCCGAGTTGTAGGCCGAGTTAGAATTAGTTGTCGTCCCCTGGAATTTGGGCATGATTCGGAGGACAGAGAAACAGAAAGGATATTGGGGAAACAGCAGTAGAAATAAAAGAGTCGGATCAGCAGTGTTTCGGCAAAGCGGAAGTGAACCGCGGATGGCAGAGGGAAAAGGAATCAGATGACGTGGATGTCGGAAGCAGCGGAAAATCTGGTCGGAGTGGGCGTTGTGGGTTCGGTCGCACTCTGATCACCAGATGGAGACGGACGGAATGACTTGATGTCGACGCAAGACCTAAGATCCCGCGGGGTCGCTGCGCAGGGAATCTGATGGCGAAGGTCGCGGACAAGGCTTGTGTGCTGACTAATCTAGAGGCCGCAGCCATACATGCGTACACACAGGCTGGCTCGGTCGCCCTACCCGATCCTACCACTACACCGTCGCACCCAGTAAATGCAGCAGGCTGGGGGTCGACTCCCCGCGTCCCAATGAACAGAATCAACATGAACTCCTTTTTCCAGGGGATTCGTTGTCACGAGGACGAAGATATTTATTTATTTTGATTGAAGGGGAATAAGGGACGTGGTTCTGCATTCAGTCCGTTGAGGATAAATTTAATGAGGTTCGACTCCCCGCGTCCCAGCATCTGCTGATGGATGGGAATACTTGTGGGAGGTGTTCGGCCCTCTGGATCGAGGCGCGGCTGAGAAATTGCACGTATATTCAAGTTGAAACTCGAGGAAAGGAAAGGGACGTGGTGGATGGCGCACCGCTGCATTCAATGCATCGCACCTAAGCTTCTTTTCCATATTTGTAGCTAGCCGGGGTTCGACTCCCCGCGTCCCACTGAGCAGGATCGATCAGATCTTTTTCTCTCGAGGAGCACATTGAGGCAGGAACTATATCTTGAGGTCGGACCTAGAGAATAGGTAAGGGATGGGTTCGTTGCACATCTTTCTTTCTTTGGCTGGAGCAATTCTCGTCGTGCACCTAAGAAAGCGTACACGTATGCAGGTTGAGATTAGGACGAGGGAAAGGGGCGTGGTGCAGGGTGCACCGCTGCATTCAACGCCGAATCTTCACTCTATATGCAGCAGGTCGGGGTTCGATTCCCCGCGTCCCGATGTATGGGGATAGTAAGAACTCCTTTTGCAGGGGACTCGTTGTTACCCATACGCCTACTTTTATTGAAGGGGGGGGGGAGTGGAAAGGATCGTGGTGCCGAATTTAGGCCGGGTGAAAACAATGATGCTCCGCATCTCCCTGTTGGTGGGCGAGAATAATTTTCGGCAGGTGGCGGTCCCCAGGTGCGGCTGAGAAGTCGTCTAGGTATTCAGGTTGAGACTGGGGGAAGGAAAGGGGCGTGGTGCATGGTACACCGCTGCATTCGATACATAAGACTTTCACTCTGGTATGTCTATATGCAGCAGGCCGGGGTTCGATTCCCCGCGTCCCACTTACTATTCAGTTCATATATTTTTCTTTGGCTAGAGGAAGATGGCATGGATGTATCCAGGTGGAGTTAAGAGGAAAGAAAGGGACGTGGTGTATGGCACACGGCTGTATTAACTGGCTCGATCTTGACCATACTGCAGCAGGTCGGGGTTCGACTCCCCGCGTCCCACCTACAGGAGTACACGCCTTTTTCCTTTAGCCGGAGGGATCATCGCGGTGTGCCTAAGAATCTTGCATGTATTCAGGTTGACTTGGGAGGAAGGAAAGGGACGTGGTGTACGGAGCATCGCTGCATTCGTTATAGGCCCTTTCTTGCAGTAAATGCAGCAGGTCGGGGTTCGATTCCCTGCATCCCACTTGTGATTTAACGCATGCATTTTTCTTTAGCTACAGGAAGAAGGCATGGGTGTATCCAGGTGGAATTAGTAGGAAAGAAAGGGACGTGGTGTACGGCGCACGGCTGCATTCGCTAAACGGAAATCGTTCTTAGTGCAGCAGGCCGGGGTTCGACTCCCCGCGTCCCACTTACAGTTCCATACCTTTTTTTCCTTTGGCCGGAGGGATTATCGCGGTGGGCCTAAGAATCTTGCATGTATTCAGGTTAAATTGGGAGGAAGGAAAGGGACATGGTGTACGGAGCATCGCTGCATTCATTATAGGATATGTTACACTAAATGTAGCAGGTCGGGGTTCGATTCCCCGCGTCCCTCTGAACCGGTTGGATAGGAGTTTTTTTTTTCCTCTCGGGGAGTGCATGGAGGAGGAAGCTACAGTATATGTTGAGGTTGATATCAAGAAGCGAAGGGCCGTGCTTTTCGATTCCCCGCGTCCCACTTATAGGTCCATGCCTTTTTCCTTTGGTCGGAGGGATTATCGCGGTGGGCCTAAGAATCTTGCATGTATTCAGGTTAAATTGGGAGGAAGGAAAGGGGCGTGGTGTACGGAGCATCGCTGCATTTATTATAGATCCTTTCTTACGGTAAATGCATCAGGTCGGGGTTCGATTCCCTGCGTCCCTCTGATTGTGACTCACTCTGAGTTTTTTTCCCTCTTGGGGAGCACATGGAGGAGGAAGCTATATGTTGAGGTTGACGTGAAGAAGGGGTGCACTGTTTTGGTGTGATCTGAAAAAATGCAGATTCTATAGTTGGAGTGCTTGCAATTGCGCTCTTGGAGGTTTCGAACGGTCCGTGGTTGAACGTGGCGCAAAAGTGCATATTGCACACATAAAATGAAGGCCGTCCAGAAATCGACTCGGCGTTCCATTCGCGTTTTCCCTTGAACCTGGACTTGGCTCAAGCGACGATGAAAATGCAGAGTAGAACTGGACATTGTCTCTGTTTGGCGTTTGTGTGGCTGGACAGGCAGGAACAAACAATCCTCCTGCGGAAAACTCTCACAGCAGGAATTCGATCAGAACGGATACGCTCAGCTGGCAGGGACGTCCAGATTTATCCAGGACGTTTCCGGGACATTAACAGGCTTCCTGTCCCCCTGGACATCTCGAGGGCCCTCTGCTTGCGCTAGAAACGTCTTGACTTGGTGCCGCGTACACATCCTTCAAGGTCGGGCCAAAACTCTGAAGCTACAGACCCTTGCACGGCTTGTGAACGGCTTGCGGAGATTGAGTTCATTGTCAGCGTCCGTCCGGCTGACTCATTCGTATGTTCGACAGCCGGTCCTTGGATTCCGAAGCTGATCGTGATTGCACTGCCTGCTAGGTCTACTTTCGCTGGCAGCCAGTTATAGGCTGGAGATAGCACATACGCTCGCTCAGCATCTATCGTCGCTCAGAGATACCCTGCGCTCAGTGCTACCCGCACTTGTATCCCGGCTCGCAGCTTGCATCCCTCTTGTTTGCATTAATCCCCGGCTCGCATTACTCGCCGCAATGCCTCCGACCCGCCACGTCCGCCGCGAGGGCCGCGACCACAGCGCCGCGCCCCTCCAGGCCGCGCCCCCCAAGACCGGCGGCGCCCCCGGCTTCAGCACCGACACCACCCCGCTCTTCCTCCGCCGCACCAAGGCGGCCCGGCGTACGGACGACGTCGTCTCGCAGGGTCTCGCCGCCTCGCGCCTCCTCCAGTCCATCGCCAGCTCCATGAACCTCGCGACCGTGCAGTTCGTCGCTACCAGCTGTGTCCTCCTCTTCGATACTGTCCAGGTGCGCGTCTCTCCTTCTCTCGATGGAATGGCGGGCTGATGCGCGCGGACAGTCGGTGCGCAACAACAAGACGGAGTGCATGCAGCTGCTCGAGCGCGTGCACCAGATCGTGCGCGCGATCATCAACCTGTGCGGCGACGCCAACGGCGCCATGGCGCCCATGATGGTGCGCGCCATCGATCAGTTCACCGAGTGCGTTTACCCCCTCCCCCTCCCCCTCCCCTTGCTTCCCTGTATCAGAGGACTGACGGCGCGGGCAGAACGCTGACGAAGGTGCACGCGTTCCTGCGCACGCAGGCGTCGCACGGGCTCTTCGCGCGCATCCTCCGCCACAAAGAGACGCAGGATCACTTTTCGCAGTGCACCATTGCGCTGCAGCAGGCGTTCGATGTGTTTGGGGTGCGTGTCGTCTCTTTCTTCACGATTTTATACCCTCCTGCATCCCATCTACATCGCATCGTACCCTTCTCGTCCCACCCTTCCTACTACTCTCTCCGCCGTCCCCTTCCCCAGGCGCGCATTCCGCATTGTTCTCCTCCCTCGCACCCATCCCTTCGACGTCCTCCACCTCTCTACCCGCCCTCCGTCCGTCCCTCCGCCGCCCCTTCCACCCCACCTCCTCCTCGCCCCTTCCACCCCACCTCCTCCTCGCCACTTCCCACTCCAAATCCACTCCCCCGCCCCTTCATCCATTCATCCCCGCTTCCCATCCTCCCCGCGCGCGCATGCCGCTCGGATCGATCTCGTCATCCCCTTCCTCCTCCCCCCGTCCACCCTACTCTACCCCGTGCCGACGCCCCTTCATCCATTCCATCCAGCCCTCCATCCATTCACCCCCGCTTCTCATCCTTCCATTCCTCCGCGGCCTCACCCCGTCACCTCCGCACACCCACTCCTCATCGCCACCTCCTCGCCACCTCTCGTCCCCTACCCGCGTCTCCCTTGCCTCATCCTCCGCTTTCTCCCCCATCCATTCCATATCTATTCATCCCTCTGGGCTCTCCCCTTTGCATACATCGCTTGCCTCGCTTCGTCGCCCTTCCCTCCTCTTCTCCTTCCTCCAAACTTAACACTCCACTGACACTCCTCTCCGCAGGTCCAAACAGGCCTCATCACCAACTCGGCGATGGGCACGCTGCGGCGCGACGCGGCCGCGCGGCACGCGGAGATTTTGAAGGCTTTGGGGCGCTAGCTTTGTGTGAGGGGGGGGGGAGGGGAAGTGGGGGAGGGGAGGGGAGGGGAGGGGAGAGGGGGATGTGGGGGAGGGGGGAGTGGGTGGGGGGAAGGGGAGCGAGCACAGGGCGGCCACGCGCGCGCCACGTCGGTCGGCGGCCACATGCACACGCACACGCACACGCACCCACACCAGCACCAGCGCTGCATACCGCGCTATCCATCTACATCTACCCATCTCTCCATCTCCCGTCCTCGGCGTTGGGAGCTCTCCTCTTCTTACGGCGTACCCATCCTCTTCTGCACACACCCCGCACCCGCCCCATCATATTTCGCATCCGCCGCACATCCTCTTCCTCATTATACACCCATCCTCGGCGTGCGCACGCGATCGCTCGGCGCCTTGGACCTTCGCCACCCTGTATTCGACTGAAAGAGGGGAGAGCGAGGCAGCCGCAAACGTAAACACAGCCGCGCCCGGCGTGTGCTTCTTATCCACGGCGTATCGCATCGCCCAGCCACCCGCCCACCCGCACTTCCGTGGCACAGCAGCACGTCCTCTTCGCGCACCCATCCTCGGGAGCAGCAGTACGCGATCGCCCTCGTCCATTTCGCCTTGGAACCCGCCCCATATTATATTCGTCTGCGGCCGAGCCCGCGCGCCCTTCGGCCAACGCAAACTTGTCTTCGCTCAGCGCGCGCACGCCCGCGTATGCCTGCGCGAGCTTCTTATCCACGGCGTACAGCCGCACCCGCACTTCCATGACGCAGCGACACGCACGAATACACCGCATCCACACGCACCATCGCATCCGCCGCACCTCCTCCTCGCGCACCCATCCGCGCTCGGCGTGCGCAGCAGCAGCAGCAGCACCGCGATCGCTCGCAGTCGCTCGACAGCCTAGCCTCGGCGCCAACTTCGCCTCACCCTGTCCCCCCGCTCCTTCGGCAAACGCAGACGCATCCTCGCTCTCGCGCACGCGTTTCTTATCCACGGCGTATCCCGTCGCGCAGGCGCAGTCGGACTTCCATGGCGCAGCGATATGCACCATTGCACCTCCTCCACACGCCCGGCACATCAGCGCTGGGTATCAGATACTCGACCTCGTTCGGCGTCACCGCCCCGGCTTAACTGCGGCGCACCTACGCCTCCCGTTGGAGGAGCAGACGGTCGCCCGCCCGTGGCCCCGCCCCATCCGCGGTGTATCATCTCCACAAGTGCTCCCATTTCGCCCCCGGCCCGCGGGATCCACCCACGCTCCCTTCTCGCCCGCGCCGCGACGTATCCAGCCGACCTCCCTGGGAGAGCGCCATGATCTCGGCGTGCTCGTA